CATTATTAGAGCAACAACCTATAATTTTAAATTTTAACTTCGTTGGAATTTCTTTAGGAGAAATTATCGAAATTTCAATATTAGTTCCATTTTAATACTCGAAACCATCAAAGTACAACTTTCAAGGTTTTATACCAACATAATTTTGTCTTAATTCGATTATTGCATGATCAACAATCAAGACCTCATATGTTAAAGAATACTCAGTCAATGCTAAAGCCAATTTCCTAATTCGACTGCGTAAAATAGGTTTTGACAACATATGCTTAATAACATCATAGACCTATTTCTCATAGGAAGTAACATAATAAGAGGATTCATCAGATAACTCTTAATTTCATCATAATCTTTTAGATGTTATGGTTGCCATTTTAATCCTTCTTCTTTTTTTAAATGCAATAGTGGCGAAAATACTTTTATTTTGCCATTCCAATTGAAACTCCTTAAGAAATTAATATTTCCAACCATAGATTTAAAATGTTTCTTGTTTAATGGAGATGTTGTATTGAGTATAGATTTTATCTTGTTTTGGTTTATCTCTATGCCTTTTTTGAGAATCACGAAGCCTAGAAATTGCATGCATGGACACCAAAAGAAAAATTTAATGGATTCATTTTTTAATCCATATTTCCTCATTCTATCAGATGATTGTCGAAGGTGGTACAAATGACTATTTTTTGATGAAGATTTGACAACTATATCATCAATATAAACCTGCATAAAGGTCTCAATGAAATCATAAAACATAGAATTCATTACCCTTTGGTATGTTGAAATAGCATTCTTTAGGACAAAATTCATCACTACTCATTCATAGGTTCCTAAAGCTCCAGAATATCTAAATGTCGTTTTTTGCTCTTATTCATATGCAATGAAAATTTGGTTATACCCTAAGCAGCCATCTAAAAGGCTTAAACACTCAATTCCTGTTGATGAATCGACTAAATTTTCTACAATAGGCATTGGTTATTCATCTTTGGAGTAGCAACATTTAAATCTCTAAAATCAATACAGACTCTACGAGTCACATTATTTTTAATAACATGGACTATATTTGCTAACCATTTAACATACCTTGTAGTCCGTATGAATTTGTTCCTTAGAAGCCTTTTGATTTCCTCTTTGATCTTTGACATCACCTCTTGTGCAAATCTTGTTGGAATTTGCTTCACAGGCTTCCTGTCAAGTCGAATCAGAAACTTTAATTCCACCAAATCTCAACTGAGCCCTGGCATTTCATCATAATCCCGAGAAAAACAACCCTTGAACTCTTTAAGCAACTTGATCGTCTGGTTTTTTAGGTTTGGATCAATCTTTGCGCTTATGTAAGTTGGTTTTTTTTATTGTTCTATCTCTTAAATTAACCTCGTCTAGTGGATCTTGATCTTGTATCCTCTTATTTGAAGCTAATGGATCTTTTTTTAATCCAAAAGGCTCGTCATCATAGATATAAACAAGCCTCCGGCAATCTGAAATTGGATTTTCACTAATCTCTTTTATTTTATTAGTTTTAACAGTACTGAATTCGACAACCATTTTTTGTAGGAAATCAGCTTCTAAAGCCTTCTTTATTCTATTTTTGGACATATAGACTGCAATTCGAGCTAATGTGCCTGACTCAATCATCAATGTTGCCTATTAACCACCCAGTAGCTGCAGTGGCCCCTATTCCAGATCCATTGTCCTTGATCTCATGTTCCCATATGAAACCATGAGTGGGATGTAGCTTTATTGAGTAGAAAACATCAACTTGTAGAGAAAATCTTATTCCAACAGACACACAGGGTTAGATGTTAGTTAATAGTTTGTCGAAATTGTTCTTATCTATACGATTAACTTCAGTCAAAAAATAATTTTGATCAACCTCAACATTTTCTACAATTCCATCTGATCTCCAGATTGAAATCCTCTGGTGCAAAGTTGAAGGGGTTTCCCCTACACCATGGTCTCAACCAAGCAATAAATTATAGTTTTCTTTGGTCGAAATAACCACAAACAATGTTTGTCTTATAATTGGACCTACAACAATATCAACCTAAATAACTCATAAAGCCTTACTCATTTTGCCTTCATAGTTAGACAAAACTATACTATGAGACCTTAAATCGGTATCATACTTGCCAATTTTCTTCAATAAAGAATGTGGCATCAAATTAATCACTGCTCCTCCATCCACGAGGACTTTGTTAACACTGAAATTATCAACCTTAGACCATATAAATAAGGGTTTATGGTCTTGTTTCATTCCTTCTTTAGGCCTGTTGAAAACGACATTTTCTTCCTCTATAGAACCAATATTCATTACATAATAACATAGAGTCTTATAATTTTACATTTCTTCAACAAAAACTCATCCTCTTTTTTAGTCACTTAAGTAACCTAGTCAAAATCTATAGGTATAACAGAGACCAAGTTGCATATTATGTCTAGTTCACCTTCTAATCCATAATCAAAACTATCAGTCAACATGTCATCATCTTCATTTTGCACGGCATTTTTCACCTTGGGTTTAACTACTGCTGGCAAAGCATGAAAAATTCTTTCCTTCATGGGTTTCTTTGCCACCCGAACATTTGTCATCACTTGGGATATGCCACTATTACTCGACTCTCCAACCTCGAAACCAGCCTTATTTTTTTCATTTTTCTTCACTGGGTCCTAATCATGGCCTTATTACCCAGGTAATTCTTAGTAACATATGAATACTTCTTCGACACCTGGGAGTTATCGGGGAAGGTGTTCGAACTGTAGTATAGTGGTTAGTGCAAAAGAAAGGAATTATTTTTCTTGGAAATTTATCGTCTCCATAGGGATCAATGCGAGGGAAAGAATGACATTCAACAATTTACGCGTTTATGAGTTTGGTTAAAATAGGTTAAATAGAAAACATATGGATATTAAAATAAATTCATTCTTAAGATAGGAGAAACTTATCAGATATGAATTTAAACTACTCGTCACAAACTTAAACCTATTGATTAATTATACTCAACCTACAATACTCGTCAAAATCATCAAGTATCTCTCATATAAGTATCCCTCTCCTGTCATCTTGCGCGGGTCACAGATTATCCTGATATCTTACCCTATTGATATCTTTTCTTGGATCACGGATCATCATGAGATCCTACCCTCTCCCGACATCTTGTGCGGGTCGCGGATTTTCTGGATATCCTACCCTCTTGATGTCTTTTCCTAGGTCGTGGATCGTCCTGAGATTCTACCCACCTGTCACCATTTCTTGGATTGCGGATTGTTGTTGAGATCCCACCACTCTTTTAACTACTATTTTTCTATAACAATTGTTCCTCCCTGAGAACCTTGTATTGGCATCGTTACCATGTTACGAACAATCATCGCCCATTAACCCTTCTCACAAAAAAGAAACAGGAAAAATTCATTCACCGACAGATATTACAAAAATAAATAATCCATCATTCAAAATAAATTTTGGGCTTTGTTATTTAATCACCTTCCACCTAGAATGTTCAAAAGGCCCGCACCAATCGCACCTTCAGGTTTAAGACGATTAAATAGGGGCATCTGTCATACCGGAAATTTGTCATACCCTTTACAAGGCTCATCTGACTTATGCATATCTATCAGCAGGCCATTTAGCATTGCGTGCATCATAAATGGTCATGGGATCAAGGAATTTCTTTTAAAAAGCTACACAAAAAGATATTATTCTGTTATGCCGTGCAATAAGGCAAAACTCAGATTTTTAAAGGTTCAAAGGTGATTCGTGTGTTTTGCAAGCTATCAGAAATTCACAACTTGCCATCTGGATACTGTTCTCAGTTGATTCTTTGAGCATCGAGATCGTGTTGACTTCCTTGTCGTTTCTCGTGTTCAGGTTAAAGGTTAATTATGTGCAGCGAATCTCCGAAAATTTTATTTCTTTGAAGATAGTTACTGAATTTAATTGCTGGTCCATCGTCTCGCAAGTAATCAGAAATTCATAACTTCTGATTGAAATACTATTTTGGAACCGTTCTTGAGGCGTCATAATCGTTTGTTTATCTCCGTAAACTTTCATCTTCGGCTCGAAAGCCGGTTTTTTTAGGAGAATCTCTGAACGTGCAGATACTTTAAAAAGAAACAATGGAAAAATGGTAAAGATACTATGCTGAACCGTTATTTTTCGGATGTTCGAAAATTCATAACTTTCATTTGGAGCGATGTTTCTGAGCCGTTCTTTTTGAGGGAAAGTCCGTCTTGTTTTATCTTCCTTCCATATGTTCGGGCCGAGAGTTTATTTCTTGAGGAAAGTCCCTAGAATTATGATTTATTGGAGATTTTGTGGTGCTGAACCGGGATGTTAATTTACTGATTCCCGATATTCTAAAAATCGTAACTCCTTCTATTTTTATCATATCAATATGGTTATTTCGGTATAATTTCAGAAATGATGTCAGATATATTTTCTTTTCATACTCGAAATTCAAACAGTACTCCGGAGACCCTCGTTTTTGGCTTGTTTCGTAAAATAGAGTTGCTGAACTGAAAAAAGGAATTTCAAATTTAATTTCCGTTTCACTAGAAAAATTATAACTAGGTCAATTTTTATGGGATCGATCCCATCTTTTTATACGAGGTCACTCACTCATATATCTATAATTTTTCTTCCAAAGTTGAGTCCGGATTATGCTCCGAGAAGTACCAGATTTTTATCAAAAAGGTGTCTGTGTCTGACACTGACGCGAAAACTGGTGCTGAAGGATTTTATGTCGATGTCTCGATATTCAAAAATTCATATCTCACTCGTCTTTCATCGGATTGAGCTTATCTTTTGACACGAGGTCGCTATTGACATCGGCTACGTTTTTGTTCATGCGCCGACTTCGAATTTCATACCGAGCTCCCTGCGAATTTGACCTGAACGTGTCAGACACTGATGAATTAACAATATTCACTATTGTTTATGGTTCTTTGAAGTCCATTAACCAATCCACTCATATTAGCTCACACTATATATTTTCATTCACACCATTTTCTCTCACAATTCACCTATTCACAAAAATACCAAAAAAATCTATTTGTATTTGTTCCGTGATCAAACTCTACTCTCTCAATTTTTCTCTCAAGAACACAACAACTTCAACAACATCTTCATCCATCTTCATCAAGGATTGTCATCAATTCATCACTGGTTCGCCTCAGAACACCGGTTGAAGGACAACCACCACCACCAACAACCTTCACTTCCGACAAACCAACTATCTTCTCTGACCACTCCTCCCTCCGGTACAGCCCCACTCCGGTCATCATCATCATTAAATTCTCCTCTTCATCTTCTCCAATTATCAAGGTTCTCCAAGAGGTAAGCTCTTTCTACAACTCTCCATTAATTCTTGTAATTGAAACTTGTTTCTAGAATTATATTGAATTAGTGAATGAAAGTTTAATTATTGATTGGATTGGAACTTGATTCTTGAGTTTCGTATTGAATTTGGAAATTGAATTGGGAATAGAGTTTAGGTTTTGATTAGAATTTTTGATTTGGACATAGAGTTAGGGATTTAAGTTGATGATTCTTGATGTAGAGATTAATGCAAATTAAGTGTTTGTGTTAATGCTTAGTGTTAGAATTCTTGATCAAGAATGACATAGTGATGATGGAGAAGTGAGGCATAGGCTAGAAGTGTTGAAATGGTGATATTGGTTGTTTAATTGTTAACTTGAAATTCCTCTTGAATTTTAGTCTTGAACCAAGTTTGGTTTCAATTATGTCTTTTGATTGTAGTTTAGGCTAAATCATGTTGCTTGTTAATTGTTGTTGACTGTTGGTAAAGTATGACCAAAAGAGAGTTATTGAATTAATAACACGAGGCTTGAGGCAAATGGAAAATATTATAACTCAAGTTTTTCTTTTACCGACACGTAACATAAGCTCAAACTTGATGTTACTTTTTAACTATGATGAGTTTTTACGCTTTTGATTAATGAAACTTGACTTTTTCAGTGATTCCGGAGCCAATGGTGTGTTCACTTTTCAGTTTTGGCGAATTTTTTCTCCGTTTTTTCTGCTATTGTATTGTTATGAGAATAACCTTTGGGTATTGATTTTGGACGAACCGAATCTGTTTTTGAATCCGTTGGCATGTTTATAGGTTGCTATATTTTTTATGTCCAATTCTGGATACTCTTTTCCGCATGCCTATTTTCTACTTTTGAGTTTTTACCGCTCCGTTTGATGTGTGTTTTGTACTTTTGACTTTTATGTGGTATATTTGTTTACTAATTCACACTAAATCCATAACTTGTGATGTTGCTAATTTCACTTGGTGTACATAGTCTCGGTTAACATGACATTGTTCACTAGCATGATTGCAACTTCTCAAGATCTATGTTACGAACACTTGATGTCAATTCTGATGATCTATCATAATTCTTAACTTTGACATAACTTGTCACTTCTTTAGTTTGTATTGATACTTGATATCCTTTGCTAACATTTACTATTTCATGAGTTGTCAATTGACATCGATTAAGTGTAAAATCCAATGCTAATCATTTAATGTTTCAGTTCTCAAGTTTGTGCATATGAAAAACCATATTTCCAATAGAAAATATTTCAACTTGAGAGTTGAAAACAACATTTGACATTTGTGTAGTTTCACTTGTTTTGACAAATTTTGATAGCAAGTTCATTCGAAGCCTTACCGGTAGTGCTCGGAAATCACTTGTCGCGTGATTACATAGCATTTAAAACTGATTCCAACCTTTTCGGATTGAAATTTTGACCGATTAGACCATTTATGGAGTTGTTGTCCTGAACTGTAAAATGGCCTAAATGGAGCACCTTCGCTTGGAATTAAATTATGGGACCAACTTTTTTGAAACCGTTATCCCGTTTGCAACCTTCTACGTGGGTTTCGTTCGATTCTGAGAAATTTTTTACCGCATTTCAAACTGACCGTGCGCGGAAGTCAAGCTTCCACTTTGTTTTTGACCAAACCGATTGAAGATTTAGATTCCTGGGCACGTTTTTAGGTTACAATGTAAATATCGTTTCATTCCGAGCATATTTTTTTGGACGCCTATTTTCTATAACATGATTTACATCGTAATGCAGAATTTTTAGTGTAGATTTTTACACTTCTTAGTGCAGAATTTTAATTTCATAATTATCATTTGATACATGCTTGTTTGTTGCATACCATTTGTTAATTGTCGGATTAATTTTCATACAGATTTCTACTTTTTTTTTCCTTGTTATTTTTTACTCGTTTATTCATTATGCAGGATACATTTTGGTGCTTTCGATCATGTAACAAAACATTTGTCATATGATTGAAACATATGGCTTATGCTCGCTTCCGATGCAGCACACCTTATTTCTCATTTTCATGAGAAATTCACATTACATTATATGTTGTCCGGATGCGTATGATATGTTGTGATACTTTATGAAGGAACTTCTGATTACGCGTTGCATTCGCAACACGCATTGGTTTTTATCTTAGTTGGATATCGTTTATGACTTTGTTTGTTTCTTGGTGAAGCTCACTCGACGCGTACTTCCTATTTCTCCATTTGCTTTCGTCTGATTGATGATCTTCTTGCTTTTGGTAGTCGCCTCTACTAATTTTACATTTTTCCGCACTTTATCACATTTCTTTACCACTTTTTGGATATCATGAGATGTAGGAAATAAAGAGTGTGCGCTCGAAGTCGCTGTTTAAAGACCTGTAGCAAGCATTCTATACTTGTTTGCTAATTGTGATTGTGTTTGCTTTCATCTTTTGATGGCTGATGATGTCACTCGATTAGCATTGAGATAACGACTTCGGCCTTTGCATGCTCCCTATAGGATTTTATTGCTTTCTTTGTTGATGATCAACGATGTCACTCAATTAGAATTGAGATAACGACTTCGATCTTTGCATGCTCCCTTAGGGCTTTATCATTTCCGTTTGTTAATGATCGATAACGTCACTCAATTAGAATTGAGATAACAACTTTGATCTTTGCATGTTTCCTATAGGATAGTTATCCTCACCCCGAGGTTTTTGGTATACTAACATAGGTAGACATTTCCCTTATAGCATTTTTCTTCCCTCTTTTGCATGTGCAGTAAAACTAAAAACTTCTTTTTCTTGATAAACCATAAAACACCTGAATCATACTTAAACCCTTTTTCAAGGTAACAAAACACAAAACAATCAAGCGTGGCATCTTGCCTTGAAGGCTTAACTCAAAACCGTTTTCACAAAGGTTTGTCACTCATAAAAAACACAAAACAAACAGAAACATGTGAGTCGTACTATGGCACTCTGACTTTCCCATTGCACGAGGGAGCACGTAGGTACTAGGTTGCAGGGCCTAGGCAATAAAAACTTTGTAAATGTTCCTTTTTCCCCATATTTTCTTTTGCATGCATTCCCTTTTTGCAGTTAGCCTTAAACATAGATTTGTATACACCCTTAGATTAGAACAAACAAAAGTGGATCTTATGGAGTACCACAGACGCGTAGGGTGTTAATACCTTCCCCTTGTGTAACCGACTTCCTTACCCGTTCTTTTGATCGTAAGACCATCTTATCCGTTCCTTTGGGGTTCTCTCGACATCTTCCCTTCCTTCAGGATAAATAGAGTTCGATGACGACTCTATGAATATTTTTCACGGCACAACACCTTCGACACTTTATTTCTCAATGCTCCAAACATGCACCAATACCTACAACATAGAAGAAAATCCATCAAACAATACACTAATTACACAAAAACTGAATTATATACAATATGTAAAAATATTCACAATATGTACAAATTCATACCGAAGTTGAGGTAAAAGAGTCGATAAGTGCCATAAAACTATATACAAAAATAACTACAAACTGACACTTATCAAATTCTCCCCAACTAGGACTTGTTTGTCCTCAAACAAGAATAAATCAACCTAAAGAAGCAAAAATAATCAACAAGAAATCATGAACCAACAAGTTTTAAAAAACGAAAAACAAATGTATGGTTCAAGAAGCAACAATGTACATGCAAAAGAATGATTACCACTATCCTACAACAACAACAACATGAAAGCGAAACAAATCCTAAGTAAAAAATTATATCAAACTTTCTATAACAACACAAGTTCAATCATGAATCACACCTAGCAAAAAATCATCGAGGGATGAAAAACACACAAACATGAGGGACTTGACACTCATCCAACAATCTTGCAAACAAAAGACTAAATTATGCCACAAGGTAAGTTACTATTTGGCCAAGTGGTTGTGCTCAAAATGAAAATTGCATTGATCATTTTCATGCTTTCATACAATCAACACAAATAAAAGATTAAACATAATAAAATTTAGTTAAAACAAGAATGTTGGTATCCTGCATATATGAATAATGGAAAGCTTCCTCACATTTGGGATAGGAACTAAAGTGATTCATTTCATGAACAAGTAATGAAAAAAAAGAATGACATGGTAATTGTACAAATTCCAAGTTTTCTAATCATGTTATCCTATAGAAAGCGATAAAAGAGTACCTTGCATGATATCAACTTCAATTATCATCATTACCATACAAATGCTTTGTTGAAACAATAAAACTTGTAAAATCACCTCATGCGACTTCAAATTAAGGGACCAAAATTTGAGTCCAAACAATAAAAAAAATATTAGAAAATACTATTATTATTTACTACTCTAAACAACCTTGGTGAAAGTGGGAAAAAGGGCCGAGTGAAACAGGAATTCCACTGGCACTAAGCAGAGCATGCTGACAAAAGAAAGCGCGCTTAGCGGTAGCAGAAAAGCACAGAAAAACAGAAATGCATCTGAATTTATGCACAAGTCCTCCTATAATACCTACACTAACTCAACTATAAAATGTACAGAATTTACAAATCTTGGGGTGCCTCCCAACAAACGCTTGTTTTACATCGTTAGCTTGAAGCCTTTATTGTGCTTAGCTAGTAACTTCCTCTCACGACGCCATTTTGTTCGAACTGAAATATATTGGTAAAAGAAAAAGAAAGGAAGTAGTTTTTCGGGAAATTTATCATCTCCACGGGGATCAGTGGAGGAAAAAAATGCCATTCAATAGTTTATGTGTTTATGAGCTTGAATAAAATGGGTTAAAGAGAAAACATATGGACAAGAAAATAAATTCATTCTTAAGAGAGGAGAAACTTATCAGGAATGGATTTAAGCTACTTGTCAAAAACTTAAGCCTATCGATCAGTTGTACTCAACCTACAATACTCATCAAAATCATCAAGTCTCTCTCACATCAGTGTCCATTTCTGAAACACCTACTAGATGTACCACAATAGAGGTTATGTCTAACACAAATTTGCAAGAACAACTGTATTACTCGCGTCAGCGATGTCTCACACAACTCAAACAACACGGAAGCATTAAGCTTTGATACCCACAGTGAATATTAGCTCTAAATCTATCTCTAGAATCTAGAATCTAATAGATATCCATCTTTAAGTAGAATTTGTGAGGTATATATCTATTACAACATAAATCCAAACATAAAGCAAAAATATTAAGGAAGACATCAAAATTGATTTGTAAAGAAAGCTTTATACAACACCATAATAAACAAATATACATAGGTTCATAGTAAGCTTACAAACAAAACCCAACAAATAGAAAAATACATAGAGAAGATTGAAGAAGAACCAAACATCTCACAGGTTGTCAGCTCCGATTGATGAAAAATCCCACTCTGGATCATCCACATGCAAGCTCCATTGTTGTTTTCTAGCTTCTCTCTACTGAAGAATGGATGGTGATGAATTGAGATAAAAAAACTACCCAAAACATAACCCTAAAAATTTGTCTAAAATTATTTATATAAAATTGAAAAACGCAGACCGCGCTAAGAGGGATACACGCGCTTAGAGGGTTGCCTCAAATTTACACGTTAAACCACCTAAACCATGCTAAGCGAGCTTCGTGCGCTTAGTCGGGCTCTGAAAATTAAGTCTTTGCTAAATCCAAAACTTCTGGTAGCGCGCTTGAAGATGGGCTAAGGGGGCTTCGTTATTATTTTCTTCCAAAATCGCTTATTTGAATATGTGTCTTCGATACTTTATTGATCAATGCTTCAAACATGCACTGATACCTACAAAAGAGAAGAAAAT